CCGTCCAACTCTGTTAACTTTTGATGATGTGGCAGTCAACTCTCATAGTTGACCGTTAAATGTGTGACGTGGCAATTAAAAAATATTTTAATCTTTTAAATTTCCACCTCATTTTTCAAAATAATTAAAAGGAGAAGAATAAGAGGCGCCCATAGTTGAAGAAGAAGATGAGGATTTGAGGAACTCGAATTCTCAATACCGATTCATTTGAATCTACTCCAATACGAGTAATGGAAGTCTATCACTTGATAGCGAGAAGTCAGAGAGCAGAAGTGGACAACTGTCACAAGGGACTAATGTGCTCGAGTTTGATATCAAGCTAGAGATTAGAGAGGAGGCACCAGAGGCACCAGAGACACCAGAGACACCAACACATTCTTTCCTTTGATTTCCCCACGACAGTTCTAGTTCCAAGAAGGTGAAAAATTGGAGATACATATCGGTGGACCTCAAAGGAGAGCTTGATTGGCTGGACTTTGACCAATACCAAGGATGGGGTGCAACATTAAGACATAGACTAGATGATACCCGTTCTCTTGTCATTATTAAGCATCAGAGGAGAGAGCAACGATGTGCTCAGACGAAAGTTCCTTGCCACATTGACGGTATCTCCAGCAAGAGTTTTGCACCAGACTTGCATCTCATATAGATTGCCAGGACAACGCTTCAATGATAGCTTTGACAGCTACCGTGTTCAACAAAACTTGGATACTACTTCAACATAGGTGGATACTAGTTCAAGCATTTCAATCGAATACTAGTTCATCAAGCTGGGATACTAGTTCATACAAACAAGAATACTAGGCCAGAACATCAGGAACATGTTCTTCACAAAGTGAATACCACCATGAATACTAGTTCATCTAAACCTGAATACCGATTCAAAACAATATGGATACTAGTTCAAAATAACATAGATACTAGTGGGCTAGGTCTGACTCAACGTACAATAGCTGACATGGCAAGCATACACAACATGGGAAATTACCTTTGAGTACCTGCTGTTAAGCCCTAGTGACGGAAATGGTGACACTACAACTTTTATTAGACAAAAATGGTTTGCTTCCAACAACACATACGTAAGTGGTCACCATGCAATAAATGGTAAACTTAAGTGACAATCGATGCAATTAACCCTAAGTTTTGGTAAAAATAATAAATCCCTATTTATACTTATCCAAGGGATCGAACTCCTCATTTTGAAGGGACGTTACGTATGAGTATCTTGCTACTGTAAAAAAATCAATTCTTGTTTTATATGTAAATACTTATACACACTTAATAATCACAAATATCATGAAACACACCCCAAAAGCACATACTAAAAATACAACAAACCACACCACAAATAGTCTAAAGTAGACCAGAAAGCTTATACAACGGACCAGAACATCACCACCACAAAGTTCATAAAGCATACCGGTAACCTCAAAGCATACCACAAGTTTATTAAAGAATATCAAAACCTTCAAAAAATAGACCACCGATTTCTTAAAGCAGACTAGAAATATCACAAAGCATATCACAAGTTCCGCGAAGCATATTAGAAACCTCATAAAGAAGATCACAAGTTCCTTGAAGCTGACCACACGTTTCTCAAAGCAGATCATAAGTTTATTGAATCATACCACAAGTTTCTTAAAGCAGAACCATAAACTTCATCAAGTAGATTACAAGTCTCTCGAAGCATACCAGAAACCTCATAAATCAGACCACAAGTTTCTTAAAGTAGACAAGAAACATCACAAAGCAGACCGTTAGTTTATTAAAGCAAACAAGAAACATCATAAAGCAAACCACAAGTTTTTTGAAGCATAATAGAAACATCATAAACTTGCACCTATTTGTAAATTAAAAAATAGGTATCCAAATGTAAGACATAAAATTTTTAGGTACTCAAATGTAATTTTTCATAAATATTATATGCAAAAAATTAATTTTAGGTACTAAATCTTGAAATGTATTAAGTTTAGGTACCAAAAATTAATTTGTATATGAAACTCAAATACATGGGACGGAAAGGAGGGGGCGGGGGGAAGGGAGCTGCTCCTATAAGTGGGTAGTTACTATAATATCATTAATGATTATGTTAGCATGGTGCTAACTAGAATTGTACATAGGTCGGTTGGGTTGGTTTTGACCATTTTGAATCACCCAAGTAATGAATCATTGGTTTAATGATGGTGAACCCAAACCCAAACATAAATGTCAAGATCCTACGGTTTGGATCGGGTTAGACAAAAACCCAATACATTATACGAGAACAAAATGTATTTGTTTAACAATGTAATACGACGAATAATATATATGACACTATATAAAACTATAAAACCAGCTGGCCCGGCCGGTGTCCCTTTATGATTTGTTTAACAATATAATACGACGAATAATATATATGACACTATATAAACTATAAAACAAGTAATATATTGAAGTAACATATTGCATTCATAGTTTCATACTAGTAAAATGCAAGTAATAAAATTATTTTACTTATTAATACATTTTAACACACTAAAAAATTAAATATAAAGCGAGGATGCGAAAAAAGTATATATGTTAAAGAAACACTCACAGTTTATCAACTATAACTATGTAAACAAATGACATGAATTATAATCAAGTAAGAGATTTGTGGTGATGAAACATTATTATATATACTAGTTTTGTGCCCGCCCGATGGGCGGCGAGTTACATTTGTTTGTACCTTTACTTCTATTATATGTCATTTTCCCAAAGGTATCAGACTCCTAGTTTTCATATTTATTTATTATTGTAATCTATTATCCGTGTTTCATCATATATGAGGGGCGCTTTGAATAAAAAAAAGATATGAGGGGCGCTACATTTAATCAAGGTTTTAATCACGATCAACAATAATGTCAAACAACGTTGTAACTTCATCACTGCTTGGGAAATAGTATTCATACCATCTAAGCTTTGATTGACCTGCAATTTTCAACTTCATAAGTTGTACATGGTTTAAGCTAGCGTACGCCACCTTACCGTACTCATTTCGAGTTTTGCTATTTAGACCATTAATTAACGGAGTTTGGGACATGATATTATACCATAGTCTCTAATGGACGAACCCCATTCTCTAATTCTCAATCCAAATCGTAAGATTCATTTAATACAAAAATAATAACCAAGGATTATTATTTGTCAAAACTAATAGGTGTAAACGAAATTGTATATTACACCTCGATTGTACGCTAGCCTTTTCTACCATTATATTAAAGTACAACCAAACTTGCTATGTTTCTATATTATCTTCAACATTTTATGAATGATATCAAATCGAAATGTTAGTTATAGAGACACTTTTTCTTCGCTTCACATTATCATCCAATATTAAATGTGTGACTGGTTGTAATTGGAATTGTGTGATAACTTAATACAAACATAAAGGCGTCATGTTGTGCAATTAGTACAATAGATGAATTTACAGGACATTGGTCAGGGTATGATCTTGCATTGGTTTTATAGGACACTGGTTCGTGTATGTCCCGCACTGTTATACAGGATATCGGTCGGGGTATGATCCCGTAGTGGATTTACGGGACACCAGTCTAGGTACGATCCACGGTGGTGTACATTACATCTAATGTACTATCCGGGGAGTGTATGACTTGGCAAATTAAGAAGTAAAAAGCACTGAATCAACCTAACCATGCATGTGATTGAATTCTTGTGTAAAGATTACTTATGATGTGGTTAAGTGATGACTTCCTATGATGTGATATATGAAATGTGCATGTCGATGATGATGGTTATGTGATGGTTTTCTATGGTGTTTTAGACAATGATTTACCATTAGATGGTGTGATGTTTTGCTATGTTGGGACGGGGTTAAATGGTAATGCCGATATGATGTGATACTTGATGCGTACATGTTTATACAGTGAGTTATCAAGAGGCTGGGTGATGGTCTTTATGTTGTTAATGTATGAATTATTTGAGTTTGAGATGATGAATGTGGTATGACATGTGGTGATGAATGGATGTTTATTTGACTGAATGAGATATATCATATCGGATGTATCTTGACAGTTAAGTTAAGCGAGTAAGGACTGAGAGGTGGGTGATGGGAAACTGAATACTCCATATTTTGCCATGGTCACTGGAAGGGACAATAAGTCCTTTCGAGTTGTACTTTTAAAGGTAACGGAGAAGAATTATATCATTATCTTATGAGTTGGGTTATCCGGCGAGTATAAATGGTTACTAAAAGTAGAATAGTAATATATGTATTAGCGTGTCACATTAAGTAAATATTAAAATAGTTATTTACATCTCAACCATTATATATATTAAGATTCGTTTATAAATCTTTTTTAATTAAGATGCTATGCATTTGAAGATGACTAAGTTGCAAATCTACACTCTAGGAAAAAGAAAAGAATTAATGTCAAACAATAAAAAGAAAAAATTATAATTACATAAGGAAAAAAGTAAAGACAATGTGTTTTATAATTGTGCATGGAAGAAAATTCAATGACGTACGAAAATTTGAGAATAGAATGAAATTGGAATCGCATAAAAGAAAAGATAATGATATCATTTAATATGCGAGAGACGTAATAAGATGACAAATACATATGTACTAGTCTCTTCTTTACCCGTGCTCCGCAACGGGATTAGAGCAAAACAAACAAAATAAAGAATTGCCTTCTGTATTTCACACTACATTATTAGAGGTTGTGCTAATGAGGTTATAGATACAAACGTCATAAGCATAAACAACCCAGTGTTAACTGTTGATTTTCAAGTCATATGACCATTGAAACACTTACAAAGTTTGGATAATATCTTAGTCAGGTGATGATTTAGTATAATTGATATAAATAAATTAGCTATAAAATATTTCAAAGGACCCCCACAATGTAAATTTAAAAATAAAATACTCAATTGGGCATGAGAAAAGGATAGTATAGAATCATCTGAAATACACAGCAGCCACCAACTGTTATATTTTTCTGCATGTAACATTCAAAAGAGGATGATGTAACAACAAAGGGAGAGACCTTTTACAAAAGGCAAGGAAAATTTCCTCAAGCTATGAGACAACAAATAATCATAACAGGATGAGCACAAAGGCGGCAATTTGAGCACATGGCAACATAAATCAGTCTCCAGGTTGAGCGGCCCTAATTAGCCACCTGCAGATCGAAGTAAAACAAACCAAGACAGAAAGAAGTAAACAAATTGGACAAAGATTAATAGGAAATCACAAACAAATTTTGATGGCATCAACTAAGCAGAAAGCAAGAGCAAGAATAGCAAAGCCTCTAAACTATCAAAGTCAGAAACGGATAGAAGAATATACCGGCAGCGAAAATTAGAATACTATCTCGAACAGACAATAGAAGCGGCGATGACATCCCCAACACAAATCTGCTTGCCGCCGGCGGAAAACTTCCAGCTGCAAAATTAAGAAACAGAGGAATAAATCATATAGCATACCTACCATGAGCACAACAAACCCAAGACAAATATAAACACAGAGGGAAAGACAGAGAACATAACCTGCAATCTTGTAAAATCAGTGCGCTTGCCTCATTGTTGCGGAGACAGTCGGAGGGTTCTTGATTCAACAAACCCCTACATCCTTGTGGAGGAGGAAAAACTTTTCAGAACCAAAAAACCCATGAGAAAACTAACAATAACAATAGATCCCGAAACCCACCAAGCAACTCATTAGGGACAGAGACTCGAAGCCAAATCAGTACTTGCTAATATTCTCCAGACTCCATTAATTCTAAAATTGGCCACTCATCGCTTCGAAGGCCACAACATTCTCAACAATGGGAGATGAACTAACTGGTATTATCACCAGTGAAATCCAACTGGAAAGTAGACAAAATCATATTCCGTATAAGCACACACAAAAAAAGAGAACAAAAATAATGAATGACAAACAGAAAGAACAACATATGCATACCAGAACAGAACCTGTGGATTTGGGTATTCTTCAAATCCTCTTCCCCTATCCCTCAAATTTGCCACTGATCGCTTCTAGGTTCGCTTATCTCCCAAACTGAGGTAAGAAATTCCAAGGCAGATAGAAGAAGTGAGAGAGAGAGAGAGAGAGAGAGAGAGAGAGAGAGTTAAAAGGGTCAACTTTAAACAAATCTAAACTACCTCATACAAAAGGCATAAAACTCAGAATTCCGATCCTTTCTAAACCAATATCATATCAGCTTAAGCTGCAAAAAAACAAACAAACAGAGGAAAACATCAGGTTTCGTACAGCCGGAAGGGATTTGGAGAGGAAGACAGAAAACATTACATATAATATAAAAGTTTCTGGTATGAAGCCAGAGTGCTCGCCTAATGGTCAAAAGAAAGCACAGACAGATTGCGGGATCTTCATCTCGACGACCCATTCATCTATGTCGAGGAGGCAAAACACTCCTCAGATCCACAAAATTCATTAAGCGATCCTCAATTTCAGCTGACGAAACAGACCAAACAACTTATTAGGGACAGGGAGAATAAATAATAATCAGATACCATGTGGAAACGCCATGACTAAACTCCGCATAGAACACCGTGCATCTTGGGTAAAAGTAAGCAGATAATCGATTGTTGTCGGCGCCGAGCTCAGGCAACATCGCCTCCTTCTTGGATTCGTCAGTCTCCTCGTCGGATTTGAGCTCCTCCCCATCGAGCGGATCTCAGAGTTCCAGATCGGCCGGGCCTTTCCAATCATGAGACGCAGCGAGTTCGACGACACCGTCAAAGGATCCCGGCCAATCCTCTCCCGCACTTCATCCTTCAACTACTTCCGTCTTTGTCTCTTCTTCGTGAATTTCCAGCCATCAATAGGGAGCTCAGATTCCTCCCTCGGCCTCTCAATTTCTCCTCCCACAATTGACCGCCCCAAGTCAGTGATTTCCAGAAAGGACATGCGAGAATCAGAGCATAGAAATGTGTAAGAAGGAGATTGTGAAAGGGTATGCGAAAATCAAAGCAGAGAAAAGGGTGGCAAACAATACCTGGGAATCGGTGGCTCATCAACGATTTGAGTCAACTTCCCCATCTCGCTCGAGCACCACGGAAAGATGAGAGAGAAGCAGAATTGGAAAGAGAAGAGATTCCAGAGGAGAAATAAAGAATACACGAAATGGAAGCGCCAATGCTGAGGGTAAGAATAAAAAGTGCACTCGCACATATCTCGAGTCCTGAGTCTTGACTACTCCTCTCTCTCCACGGCAATATCATGATTAAAGGCAAGAAAGTATTGTGTGTCAGATGCAAGAGAGAAACACCCTTCCTCTCTCTCGTCAGTCCCTGGCCTTAAACAACGTGAAAAACATCACATCCCAAGTCAGCCTCCCTATATCTGATAGCTCCCTTGCTGTCTCTGGCTCTGCGATCTTGAGAACCAATCCCAGTCCCAAGACACATAGATTCGCGCACCTGTGCAGGCTCCAGTCACCAAGAGGGCTCTGGTGACCAACGCGTTCGCGAACCCCAACAGATCCAACAGACAAACACATCCAATGACCAGTCCCACCCCAACCGACCCGCCAAACTCCAGTCAGAATCCAAAGAGCCCTCACCCAACTCCAGCCCACACAGCGCCAGCTTCCGGGTTATAACAGTACATCTCGGTCAGCATGAGCAGTAAAAGCAGTCTGCGTGTACAGTACCAGGTCCTGCGGTGGGATTTCTTCTTTCAATATGTACATTACTTTTCTTGTAACTTCTTACCAATTGAGCACGGACATATCTTAACATATAACCATAATTCGGTTTCGAAAAAGTTACAAAAAATTTGGTAACCATTGGTGCCTGGATGAAATTGTTGTGTATCACTAAATTGAATTATGTTGATATATTTCATTAATCTTAAAATATAGGAATATCTCACATGAATAAGTTATTATGACTCTGGTTTTGACTTAGAAAATCATCATTTTTACTTCAGTTATTATCTCTTAATAATCTAGTAATCACACAAAAAATGTTATTTTTCTAGTACAACGCGATAAGAGTGTATTAGCTCATATATTTATAGTAGCTATTTTCTAAAAAATTGCAACATAACTGTATTGGTTTACATATTTATAGTAGTTCGTACAAAAAAATGTTAAATATTTCGTGTTAGAATACGAAAGAAGGTAATTCTTTGCTTTTTAGTTTTTCATTTTTAAAAAAATCATATGTCAAATTATGTAAAAGTTAATAATTGGGTACCAACTAAATTCATGCTTTTTGGATTTTTTAATTATTTTTCAAAAACTTTAACCGTGATAGTTTTATTGTGTAATGTACATAAGTCAATCATTAAATAAAAATATAATTTTATGTGTTGTATATATTTTTTTTATAAAATGGGTATTAATCTTGTTGTGATTAATTCCATAAAAGATATTTTTTCTATTGGTTAAACAACTTAAATTATTATAGTTTGAGCTCCTAGGTTGCATGATTAAATCTTAGTTATGGTGATTGATATACATGTTTTGTTGTGATCAATAACATCAAATATACTTTATCCTACTGGCTGAACACTTGAAATAATGATAGTTTGAGCTTGGAGGTCATAAGTTCAAATCTTGATCATGATTATTAATACACATGTTTTTAGTTTTATTTTAATGTAATTAATAACTTAAAATGTTAAAATCGTAAATGAGATGGAAAATTGTGGAGCTTTCTTTGTCCTACGTGGCAAAATCTTTCTCCACAACGGCCATAATATATGTTAAGAAGATAAGATATGATGTAGTATCAGTGTATCACATGTCAGTTCGGATAATCTCGGTTGTAACTATCCAAACCCAACCTTAATGATAATGTTTTGATTTTCAAAAATTAAAATTCATACCCACCTATAAAAATTGTATATTCTTGGATATTACAAGTAGGTCGGTTTGGGTTGAATGGGTGAGTTGGTTTTTGATTTATTTTGTTCATCCCTTGTTCTCACACTATCATGTCCCCAAAGCTAGAGGTGGGCAATAGGCGGGTTTGGTGAATTTTGATCTCAAATTGACCCACACGCTTACTGGCAAGTTAGTATAATTGTGACTCGCTATGTACCCACATTCTTCTTCGGATTGGGCTGGGTGGATGGCAGATGAGTGCGGTTGGGTTATGGATGGTTAACCCGCAAAAGCAATTTTCAACTAGCCATTAAAAAATTGGACTAACATATATAATAAGTTTCTTGCAAATTACTAATATTGTATCAATTTATACCCTTGGCACTTTGTCTCATGTGGATCAGTGTAGTATTTGCATCAAAATTTTCACTACTCCTTCAACTAATTGTATAGACAATCGACACATTTTGCAGATTTGATACAATAAATAGTTTATAGTGGACATTAACAATAAAGTAACCAATAATAGTAGTCCAAAAATATTGTTTATTATTCAACTTTAGAAGTCGATGTGGATCAGTGTAGTATTTGCATCAAAATTTTCACTACTCCTTCAACTAATTGTTTAGACAACCGACACATTTTGCAAATTTGATACAATAAATAGTTTATTGTGGACATAACAATAAAGTAACATAATAGTAGTCCAAAAATATTGTTTATTATTCAACTTTAGAAGTCGATGGTCAATGTGTAGTGCAATTAGAAAACATGATAACTATTCAGTAGTATAAACAAAAAGTAATTTTTTGTCATGTGAAAATATGATGTGGGTTGTTCGGATTACCCACAATCTATCCACCGCCCACTTAAATAAGTGGGGGTCAATCCGAAATCCACCAACTTTAGTCACCCATCGACTACGATTTGAGTTATTTATGGGTGAATTGATATCAAACTACGAACCACCACATGCTCGCCCCTACTAAAACCTAAAGACTAAAGAGCATGGTTGTCACGTTGGTGGAATGCCTCCAGTTGAATCTAGTACAATCAATGTCGATCATGAATCTGGATGGAATATGCCTCCAGTTGAATCTAGTACAACCGTTATTTGGAATGTTGTATTTTATTTAAATATGATACAGATGGTAAATAAATTATTTTCAAATATGTTTTATATATCCTTAAGTTTATTTGAAATTAATGATTTTTCACATTTCTATATATTTTGTTAAATCAATATGAATTGGTACAAACCAATTGTAATATGATCGACTAATTCCACTTGCTAAATTCTAACCGGTTTGACAAGCTTGATAAAAAAGAAAATAAGCAACCGAAAGACACAGCTCAAGAAATCAAATAAAAAATTAAAATAAATAAAAAGAAGAGAAAAAAAAAACAGAAAGAGGCCTCGTTTTCGTCTCGTGACGTTTCTCATCTGTTGGCTTCTCTCTCTCTGTCTCTGGTAATTTTTTTTTTGTTTGGGGGACAGTAGGCTTCTTCAGTTCTTCTATCCGACGCCCTTCCTCTTTCTCGTACTCCTCTCTCCGCGGCGCAGGTTAATCATCTGTATCGCTGTCTGTATCACACGCTCCCGGAGGTAAGCGCTCTTCCTTTATCGTACACCTCCCTCCCCCTCCCCCATTCCTGATCATTCCTTCCAAGGCTAGATTTTTGCTTCTCCGCCAAACCCTAATTTGAAACCCGATTCGTTTTGTATTAGTGTTCGAGCGAGAAGTGTTGCGTTCAGATTGTGCATTTCCTTTCGT